CTGGGAGGAAGGGGGGGTCCCCGCTCCCTGCTTTGGGGGTGTTTTGGAGAGGACGGGGTGGGGGGGGGGGGGGGGGTCCCACCTGGGGCCATGAGCTTGCTCTGCTGAGCAGAGGCTACACTAAACCTCAGCTTCCCATGCCGCAGACAAGGAGAAGCTGGTGGAGATGCTGCAGGCCATGAAGCAGAAGACCACGCCGGCCGCCGTGGTGAAGAGCTCCCCGCGGGACAGCCCCAGCGGTCCCACCGCCGGTAAGCATCCCCCCCACACACACACACACCGCCCAGGGCTCTTGGCTGGCCAGGGAGGGCACGGCTTTATTTTGGGGGGGGGACACACGGAGCCCCACCGGCAGCCAACACTGCTCCTCCTCCCCTCAAAGAGCCGCCGGTGCCGCCGCTGCTGCTGGATGTGGATAAACCCGTGGGTATCGCCGTCTCCGTGCCGGAGGCGCAGAAAACGGTGGAACCCGGGAGGTTAGACCAGTTGAGACCCCAGGAGCTACCCAGGGCTAAGGAGTCGGCCACCACGCCGGCGGAGAAGCCCCGGCTGAGCGACGGGCATCCCGGGAAGAAGGCACTGAGCATCCTCAGCTACGTGAGGGGTCCCCTCCCCAAGGACATCCCGGTGCCGCTGTCCCACAGCATGAACGGCAAGAGCAAGCCCTGGGAGCCTTTCATCGCCGAGGAGTTCGCCCATCAGTTCCACGAGTCGGTGCTGCAGTCCACCCAGAAAGCGTTGCAGAAGCACAAAGGTAAAGGGGCAGGGATGCGGGGATCATCAGTGAGGGTAAATATGAGGCGCTGGGATAATACAGCTGGATTCCACACCCCACACGCCCCCCCCCCATTTATTAATTTCAATAAGCGCGGAAAACTAAGTGGCTCCAGCGCGTGGGGAAGGCGATGAAACCCCACAGAAGTTGCTAAAGGCCTGAGGAGATGGGGAGGGAATTAATATTTTGAGTGGAGCGTCTTTCTGGGAGGGCAGCAGCGGGGTGGGGGGTTTGTTGGGGGGGGGTGGGGGGGTTGGGCAGGGGGGGCTGATTTTCGGTGCCCGCAGGAGGGACGGCGGCGCTGACGGCGGAGCAGAACCACAAGCTCGACGCCTCCATCCACTACAACATCCCCGAGCTGCAGGCGTCCAGCCGCCTGGCCGCCCCCCCCCACAACGGCACGGCCGAGGGGCCGCTGCCCCCCCGGGCGCTACCCCGCGACTCTGCCTCCGAGGAAGAGGAGGAGGAGGAGGAGGAGGAGGAGGAAGAGGAGGAAGAGTACCCCAGGCCCAAGTGGCAAGGGATCGAGGCAATTTTTGAAGCTTACCAGGAACATATAGAAGGTAGGGGACTGGGGAGGGTAAGCCCTCGCTTCGTGCCTCAGTTTCCCCGAGTGAAAACACCCCCACGCCTCCGGCTCCCGCTGGGCTGGGGTGGGGAGGTGCTGGATGCTCCCCAGCATTGCTGGAGCAGCATGAAAGCAACAGGGGCTGGTGAAAATCGACCTATCTGTGAAAAATTCATGTGTTCACGGCTGGCTGGCACCCTCCCCGCGGGACCTGGAGGTTCCCCGTGCTGGGGATGCTGGGGGTAATCGCTGCAGAGCCTTGCGTGGGCAGAGCCTTGCGTGGGGCTGGGACCCTCCCTGGTGCTCGGGGACGGTCCTCACTGTGCCCCCCCGCCGCTCTCCTTTGGCCTTTGCAGAACAAAACCTGGAGCGCCAAGTGCTGCAGACCCAGTGCCGGCGGCTGGAGGCCCAGCACTACAGCCTGAGCCTGACGGCGGAGCAGCTTTCGCACAGCATGGCGGTGAGTGGGGCTGCGGCACCCAGCCTCTGCAGGGCACCCACCCAACCTCTGCAGGGCACCCACCCAGCCTCTGCAGGGCACCCACCCAGCCTCTGCAGGGCACCCAACCTCTGCAGGGCACCCACCCAGCCTCTGCAGGGCACCCACCCAACCTCTGCAGGGCACCCACCCAGCCTCTGCAGGGCACCCACCCAGCCTCTGCAGGGCACCCAACCTCTGCAGGGCACCCACCCAGCCTCTGCAGGGCACCCACCCAGCCTCTGCAGGGCACCCAGCCTCTGCAGGGCACCCACCCAACCTCTTCAGGGCACCCAACCTCTGCAGGGCACCCAGCCTCTGCAGGGCACCCACCCAGCCTCTGCAGGGCACCCAACCTGTGCTGGGCACCCAACCTCTGCAAAGCACCCAGCTTCCTGGGCACCCAACCTCCGCAGGGCACCCAACCTCTGCAGAGCACCCAGCTTCCAGGGCACCCAGCCTCTGCAGGGCACCCAACCTGTGCTGGGCACCCAACCTCTGCAGAGCACCCAGCTTCCTGGGCACCCAACCTCCGCAGGGCACCCAACCTCTGCAGAGCACCCAGCTTCCAGGGCACCCAGCCTCTGCAGGGCGCCCAACCTCCTCTGCAGGGCACCCAACCTCTGCAGGGCACCCAAACTCTGCAAAGCACCCAGATTCCTGGCCACCCAACCTCTGTAGAGCACCCAACTTTCTAGCCACCCAACCTCTGTAGAGCACCCAACTTTCTAGCCACCCAACCTCTGCAGAGCACCCAGATTCCAAGGCACCCAACCTGTGTAGAGCACTCACCTTCCTAAGCACCCAACCTCTGCAGGGCACCCAACCTGTGCTGGGCACCCAACCTCTGCAGGGCACCCAACCTGTGCAGGGCACCCAACCTCTGCAGAGCACCCAGCTTCCAGGACACCCAACCTCTGCAGGGCACCCAACCTGTGCTGGGCACCCAACCTCTGCAGAGCACCCAGCTTCCAGGACACCCAACCTCTGCAGGGCACCCAGCCTCTGCAAAGCTCCCAGATTCCTGGGCACTCAACTTCCTGGGCACCCAACCTCTGCAAAGCACCCGCCTTCCTGAGCACCCCACCTCAAGCAAGGCACCCAACCCTCCCCCAGCCCACCCATCCACCTCCAGCACCCCCCCCACTCCCGTAACTCCCCCTCCCCACGCACCCCCCCAGCCCCCTCGGGGTGCCCCGGCCAGCCCAGCTGCCCCCCCCCCACCCGCCCTTGACTCTCTTCTCCCCTTGGCTCCTGCAGGAATTAAGGACCCAGAAGCAGAAGATGGTCTCGGAGCGCGAGCGCCTGCAAGCCGAGCTGGATCACCTGCGGAAGTGCCTTGCCTTGCCTGCAATGCAGTGGTCTAGGGGTTATTTCAAGGGGTATCCCAGGTGACGCTCCTTGGGCTAGGCCGAACATATAGTCTAGAAATAATAATCTATTTTATTACCTTGAATATTTAATATTTTTCACTGGGAGGTTTGAAGCTAAAAAAAAAATAAAATGTTTAAAAAAAAAAAAAAAAAAAAGAAAAGGATAATAATAATAATTAAAAAAAAATACAACGGGAAAAAAAAAAAAAAACCAAAAAAACAAAACAAAAAAAAAACAAAACAAACAAAAAAAAAATAAAAACAGAGAATGTGCCATGCATGAAGCAAAGGAGCACGGGAGCCGGGAGCCCACCCGAGGGCGAGCAGACCCCGGCCCATCCCCTCCCTCTGCGAGCAACGCCAGCCCGGCTCGGGCTCTCCTCCCGGGGGGGGACAGGGTGCTGCGGGCCCCCCCCTCCACCCACCCACACTTTATAGCGCTCATTTTTTTTTTTTTTTTTTTTTAAAAAAAAAATGAATTCCAATTAAAGACTCCACCGACAACACTAAGGCTGGAGGAGCCCCGCGGGGGGCCGGGTGTGGGACGGCCGCTGAGCCCCCTCCTCCCCGGCACGGCACCGGGAGCCTCCCCCCTCCCCCGGGGCTTTCCACTGGAAATGCACTTCGCTATAAAACAATAAAGTCAATAAACTGGTTGAAGGTACCTTTTTGTTCCTGTTTGGCGGGGAAGGGGCACAGACACGCGCCGGCGGTGGGCCCCCCCGGCGGGGTTACCTTGTCTCAGAGCCAGTCATGCTGGTTTTGCGATTTAAAAGTCAAAAAAAAAAAAAAAAAAAGGTGCTTCAGCCTTGTACTGTGTATATATATTAAAAAAAAAAAAGTTTTGTATGTTTTTATTACTTTAATTATTGTTATAAAAAGCCTGCCTTTTTTTTTAATATGTTTCTGCTTTTTGTTTTGTTTTGTTTTTTTTTTTTTTTGTCTTTATCCCTCCCCCTTTTCTTTCATTTTTGGCAAAAGGATTAACTCGCTTTTAGTGTTTGTACTGCTGCTGGTCAGGACAGAAAAGATATGGAAGTGTTCTAAAAGAATTTAAACCCAGGAAAAATACAATCCCCTTTTCCAGGGGGGCAGGTGCTGTCCCACTGCCAATCCCTTGGGAACCCCGAGTTGAGCCTTTCCACCACCCTCAATCTCCTCATTTTGGTTTTGTTTTGTATTTTTTTTTTTTTTAAATGCTTTTTCTTTGGTTTCTGGGTCTTTTTCTGGTCCCACTGGGCAGTTGGGGGGGTGTCACAGTGCCGGGTGGTTTCGCAGCCTTGCACGGGCTCCAGCTGCCAAATTAAAAATACAAGGCAATTGCGCCCAGAGGGCTGGAGGGTTTGGGGACGGGTGGCACCGGGGAGGGGGTCCTTGTCCCCCCCAAAAAACTCCAAGACCATCAGAGCAGCCCTAAGGCAGATGGGAACCAGGGTTTTTCCACGGGGACAACCGGGTCGAGCTTGTGCTGCCCAGACCTTGTGGGTGCAGGGAGGAGGGGGGGGGGGGGGGGGCAGGTTGAGTCTTGGCACCACACTGTGCCATTTTTCTAATCATCACGCACCCCAACTCCCCAGGGAAGGTTTTTTATAAAATGTTTAAATTATTTATTAATTTAAAAAAAAAAAAAATCACCACAAGACAAGCTCACGTCTACGGGAAAAGGTGACCTCTGCTTTCTGCTTTAAATTCCCTTGTTGCACTTGCAAAGAAAGCATTACCCCCACCCCCCCCACACACACACACAACCCTGGTCTCCCATTGGCTTCAGTGAGGGGAAAAAAAAAAAAAAAAAGCCGAAAAAAATAAAAAAAAAGCCCTGCAAGATTAAAAAGCAAAATGCCCTTGTGACAGAAATTAGTTTAATCTTTTTTAAATCCCCAATTGCATCGCCAGCCTCTGGCCTAGCTGCTGCCAACTCTGGGCTTCACAATGAATTTTAACACAGCAAAATACGCTTGCTGCTCCACTCGGTTTCTCCCTTCGCGTGTGCTCGGGGGGGTGACGGGGCGGGGGGGGGAACAAGCCAGGGATGGAAAATCATCAGCAATTTCTCCCTTGCTGCCGCCACGACGAGGCCGTGGGCAGGAGCCTGGCTGGGGTGCAGCCTCGCTTCGTAGCTGCTCCTGTACCGAGACTTTTCCCTTCTCACCAGCCCGTAATCGCGTATTTTTTTGGACCAATTTCTCGGAATTATTCCCGCCGGGGCCGTGGCGAGCGGTCGGGCCTGTTTGTACGTACCCCGTGCAGAATTGCTGGAGCAGCTGCGCCAGAGCCTGGGAGGGCTGCGAGGAGGGAAAGGCGAGGCAGAGCCCGCTGGGGGCAGTTTAGATGCTGTGAAAGAAAGCAAAACCGAAAAAAAAAAAAAAAAACAAAAAAAAAAAAGGAGGAAAAAAAACCCCAAACCAACCCCTAAACATGTTCTAAGTGTACTTGTTTGAATTAATTGTAATATATTATTTGTTGAATGTAGTAATTAGGTATTTACGAATATATTGTTGTAATTCCTGAAAACATCCAAAACAACAACAACGACGAAATAAACTCTTCCACCGAGACGACAAAGGATTGTTTCTCCCCCCCCCTCCCCACCACCTCACCCCGGGCAGTGATGGGAAAGCAGCCCCCAGCCTCACCCAGGGCAGCTCCTGCCCTCCTTGCGTGTGTGTGTGTGTGTGTCCCCCGTGGGGGGGACGGGACACTGAGGCAGGCAGGGCACAGATGGCAGGCAGGAGCCTGGCCCAGATGCTCAGGGAAAGGCACTGCTGACAGTTTGGGTTTCCCCCCCCCGCCCCCCAGCCCATTCTCCCCTCGCCTGGAATAATTACATCTGCCATCAAGGCAGCCCCCACGCCGGCGAGGATCCTGCCCTTGCCTGCCGGGCTGCCGCAGGGGAAGGGGGCCGGAGCCAAAAGGAGGAGAGCTGCGGGTTTTTCCAAGCATTGTTTCACCCATGGGTGCTGGATGCACAGAGCACGGGGTGGGGTGGGGGGTGGGGGGGCTTAATTCGAGGCCGTTCGCTCGGCTGCAATTATATTTTTGTTTATTTTGTACACAAGGAGTTTCAGATTAATAAAAATAATAATAATAAAAAAAATAAAAAAATAACAGTCAGACATATGACATTACAAGACAGCCTGGCTTGGGGGAGGGAAAACCATTTTCTTTTGTCCTTCTCCAAAGAGCAGATGGATCTGCTTCCCAGCTGATCTCCCCAGCGGAGTAGCAGACACCTCTCATCGCCCGCACAGCTTCCCCCTTTTCCAAGGCTCTGAGAAAATCCATGGTGAAGCGCCGCCTCGGAATTTATTGCTTTCAAGCCAGTGTGTGGCCTGTGCTGCCCTCAGAAGTTCCCTCTATGAAGTACACCCACACTCTCCAGGGCGGAGAGAGCCGCCTGACATCATTAGACAGCGGCTTAAGCTTTGCACTGGCAAGCCCCCACCTGCGCCCGGCAGATCTCTGAACCCAGGAGAGAGGCCCAGCTCTGCAAAAAAAAAAAAAAAAAAAGAACCGTGTGGGGATGCTCCAGTGCCAGCAGCAGCTCTGGAATTTTTCCCACCCGGCCAGGAGGCAGCCTGCATGTGGCTGAGGGGAGACCAGGCTTGGGCGGCTTAGGAAATCTGTGCAGGGAGGTAGAGGACGGTCAGATGAAGGTCCAGGGGTGAGGGGTAGAGCCTGATCCCTTCCACCCCCCTCGTCTGGGGGGTTTGAGGGCTGGCCTGGCTAGTACCTCAGAAATCCTGGGAGTGGGCACTCTCGCCAGGCTGAAGGTTAGTCCGGAGCTTGTACATGTGATCTAAGGCTTGAGTAAGGAAAGTCCCGATCGTGTTGATTTCCATCAAGGTTAAGTTATCCAGCTAAAAGAGAATAAAATAAAATAAAATAACAGAATCTGGGGAAATAGTCCTCTCGCAGAGGAGGACAAGGCTTGGAGAGCAGCTCTGCAGCCCACGCTTTTCCTTCGGTGACACCCCAAGGGACCGGCCCAGCTGCCACCCCCGGTCAGGAGAAGCACACGAGCGACGAGAGCACCGTTTCCACGAGGCACAGGGAGCTGCACCCAGCCCGTAAAAGCGAGGTTTCAGCATATGGCTTCACTTCCCAACTGACGTACCCACAACCCAGGAAAAAAAAAAAAAAAAAAAAAAAAACACACAACATGCCCTAACCAGCATTTTCACGAGCAGCTCTCATCAGTCACAAGCCCACGCGATCGCACGGCATCTGGAATCCTCCCAGCACAGAGCTGGCAAAGCTTTCCCCTGCCCGTCCCCGCCGCACCTTGGCGTGAGCTTCCTGCTGCCTGACGAAGCTGTCCGCAGACAGCCGCAGCTTGGCTAGCCGGGTGTCCCACGTCTCCTTCACCAGCGTCCGAATCTCGTCGGCTTTGGGGATGTTGTCCGAGGCACTGGAGGAGGAGGGCGAGAGGATCAGAACAGGCCCCGAGGGACTCGTAGGTTATGTCACCGGCGTAAGGAACGTTGGCAGTTCTTCAGCCCTCTGAGGCATAAGCAGAACAGTTTGCTATAGAGAAAAAACCTGCAACTCGACATTAAAATCCAGCCTGGTGCTTCTGCTGCTGGGATTTCTGGGATAGTTTATTTACCCAGGAATGCTCAGCTCTGATGCAGCATCTGGTTCTCAGCTAGAATCCTTCTGCTCTTTAATTGCCCAGCTGGTACGAGGTACACGGAGGGCCAATAACCCGGCCAAAGTCACAGGCAGCCAGGGAATTGAAAGGACTCGGCTGCGATTAGAGCCCCGGCTCTGTGCTCTCGTGGCTCTATCAGAGAGTATTAAGTTGAAAGGACTGTACGAGTTGTGCCACATCCTCCCATTAAGGCAATTCAGCGCTGCCATAAGGACCTCGAGAGATCAGATCAATTCACACGGACAGAGCTGTCGGGGTTATTCTAGCGTGAGGGAAGGAGCCGCACGCCAAGAGCGTCATCTCCAGAGGAAAAGCCAGTGCTTAAATGATCACCTCGCCGTAATTGAGGGCTTAAAGTCAGAAGAGCCTGCGCTGAGAAAAATACCAGCCAGCACATTTTACAAGTGAAATGCCTCAGCAGGCAGGAGTTCAGACCCGGAATATCCCCGGTCTCCTGCTTCTCAGGCCGAGGAAAGAGGAGCTTTCCTCCTGAAGGAGAGCCAAGGAAGAAGCCTGGAGGGTTTAGGCTGCTGAACAGATTGCAGCCAGAGAACACGCTGCTGATCCTCAGGGCCTCTACGCTCAGCTGCCGCTCAATAAAGCGGCACAGCCCCAATTATCAGGCCACAGAACAAGCAAGCCCCAAGTTACTGAAAAGCAAAGTTACCATGAGAAAACTGCTGCACCGAGGTCTTGGCACGCTGTGAAATAAACCTCCATTAACTCTCACTTTCCCACCGCCCTCTGGGGTTGCTGCCAACGAAAGCTTGAAAAATTGTCTATGCAAGCATGTACTTGGGTGGAAACTGTTACAATACATTTCCTACTTACTAGTTTAACAGCAGCTTTGTGAGTTCCATATAGTACGGACTGGGCATCGGCGTGAAGGTGTCCTCTTTACGTTCCTGGTCCCGGATTTCCTCCAGTTTTTCTAAAATACAACCAGGACCGGTCAGGCATCGCCAGGCCTTCAGGGCTTTCCCTCCAGGGACATTCTTACCCCCTCCAGGAAAACCCATGCTGCTCTTTCTATAGGACCGATGCTACGTCTGAGGTTGAATCAAAGTGCGGGAAGAAAAATGTTTCTGTCATGAAGCACAGAAGGATGCTGACAGGGACGTGGAAGCAGAGCTGAGCACACCGTGCCAGGAGGCTGGATCTACACCAGCTTGATCCCCAAACCTGTCACCTGTCCAGAGATGGTCCCTTCACCCACAAAAGGGCTTGTGCTATTTAGTGTTTGTGCCCTTGTATGGATAAAGCAGGAATGCTCGGTGCATTCGTACTGCAGCTCCATTAGCGTTTACTTCTTCTCTTTCTCAGTCTCAGTTTCCCTTGAGACAACAAAAGGGAGAGTGCCACGACTCTCACTTTTTTAGAGAGCGAGATGACTTCCTATTTCTGATGCCCTCGAGGAAAACGATTTCTGGAGCGGATGAACCAGTGATAACAGACATGCATGCTCTCCAAGGTCCCCCTCCTCACAAAGTGTCAGCCGAGGTCCCCAAAGCTCTTTCTGAACAAGCCTTGTGAGAGATGCAAATGCTGCTCAGAAAGACCAGCAACCACCGCTGAGGAGGCGTGCCAGGGCTGGGAATTCAAGCTCGCCCTTGTTCTTCCTCCTCACCAGAGGAAGAGACATTAAATACCTCCTTAACTAGGAAGACTACATCTCCTGTAAACATAAAGAATTCCAGTGGCGGACCATTAGATCCTTCTCTCAGAGTTACTTTGTGTTTGTTGAATTAAGCTTCCTGCTAATAGTAAAAATCAGAGATTACTTTTTTTTTTTTTTTTTCCATTTCATGCTTCTGCTGGACCTGCTGAAGCCACCATCCTTACCAACATCCATCCATTCTGGAGGAATCAGCCGACACTTCTGCCTCTGCTTCAGGTTAATGGCCAACCAGACAGGCACTTCCACCGGCAAGCCAGGATTGAAAGGACCCAGATCTCCCTGGAGGATGAATTGAAAACGAGAGTAAAGCAGCAGCGAGGGCTCAGGCAGCGCAGAACTTATCTGCTAGTTTGTCCTCAGCCACCTCTAAAGAGCAAGAGTTTCCAGGGGATTTTCAAAAGCCTGAGTTGAATAGCATCTGAATTTCCTCCTCTCACTTCCCGTAATTCTTGCTCTCAGACTTTTCCTCCTCTCCCTTGAGGAGTAGTAACTAACCTTTTCAGTACGTTTTCTATTTCAAAGCGTTGCACAGCAGTTATAGGCAGAAATTTCATCTCTCCTGGGAAGGCAGCCCCCCAGGCTGGGGGCTCAGCAGCTGCCCACCCCCACCCAAGGCTCCAAAAGCACCAGAGATGTGGGGGGCAGCACTGCTTCCCCCCCCCAAACCTGCCCTGCTCCCCCTGTGCCTCTCCATCTCTGTCCCTGTCCCCCGCTCCCTCAGTCCCCCCATCCCCATCACACCAGACCCTCAATCTCTCCAGTCCCTTCCCTATGCCCCCCCGCCCCTCTCCCCCTCCTCAGACACCCCAGCTCGCCCCCAATCCCCCCAGCCCCTGTCCCCTCAATGCTGCCCCTCAATCCCAATCCCCCCGAGCCAGTCCCCCCAACCTAATGCCCTCCCTGTCCCCAAGGCCTGTCCATAAACCCCCCCAGCCCATGTCCTCGATATGACCAGGCTCTGACACCCCCAAATCCCCCCCAGCCCCTGACCCTCAGACCATCGCCCCAAACCCTCTTCCGATCCCCTGTCCCCAAAACCCCCCCAGATCCTGTCCCTGAGCCCATGTCCCCAAACACCCCGGAGCCCCCCCCGCCTGGTTCCTGTCCCCAAGACTCTGTACCCAAACCCCTCCCAGCTCTTGTCCCCAAACCCCCCCAGCTCCTGTCCTCGAGCCCCCTAAGGCCCTGTCTCCAAACCCCCTCCCCCCAGATCCTGTCCCTGAGCCCCTGTCCCCAACCCCCACCACGTTCTTGTCCCCCAACTCCTGTCCCCAACACCCCCAAGCCCCTGTCCCCAAATCCCTGTCCCCAACCGCCTCCCAGCTTCCTGTCCCCAAGACCCTGTCCCCCACCTCTTGTGCCCAAACCCCCCCAACTCCTGTCCCCGAGCCCCCCCCCAGCTCCTGTCCCCGAGCCCCCCCCCAGCTCCTGTCCTCGAGCCCCCCCCAGCTCCTGTCCTCGAGCCCCCCCAGCTCCTGTCCCCGAGCCCCCCCCCCAGCTCCTGTCCCCGAGCCCCCCCCAGCTCCTGTCCCCGAGCCCCCCCCAGCTCCTGTCCCCGAGCCCCCCCCAGCTCCTGTCCCCGAGCCCCCCCCCAGCTCCTGTCCCCGAGCCCCCCCCCAGCTCCTGTCCCCGAGCCCCCCCCCAGCTCCTGTCCCCGAGCCCCCCCCCAGCTCCTGTCCCCGAGCCCCCCCCCAGCTCCTGTCCCCGAGCCCCCCCCCCAGCTCCTGTCCCCGAGCCCCCCCCCAGCTCCTGTCCCCAACACCCCCCCCAGATTCCTGTCCCCAAGCTCCTGTCCTCAACCCACCCCAGCCCGTCCCCAAGACCCTGTCCCCAAACCCCCCCAGCTTCCTGTCCCCAAGCCCCTGATCCCCAAACACCGCCCCCCCCCACACACACCGACCCCAATAAGATGGATCCGGTCGAGACTGAAGTTGGGCACGATCGTCACCAGCTCCTTCTCGGCCAGGAACTCCGCCTCCGCCGGCTCCATGGCGGCAGCGCCGCGGGGCCCGACCGGCACCGAACCGGAACCGGAACCGGAACCGAGACCTGGATCGGGCCCACCCCACGCCCACCCTCCCTATTGGCTGCGCGGCGGCGAGGCCCCGCCCACACCCGCCCCGCCTCCCTCCGACGGGCGCGTTTTCGCGCGCCCCGCGTAAGGGGCGGGGCCTGGGGCAGCTCGGAGCACGCTGGTTGGTTCCCTGTGGGCGGCCGCTGGGCGGCCATTGGTTATTATGCCGCTCCCCTTTCTGATTGGCTGCCCTATTCGCGCCGAGCTCCGGGGCCCCGCGGCGGGCGGGCGGGGTCTGAGTCCTTCGCAGAGGGACCAATCGCGATGCTCTCCGGGGGGGTGTATATTGACCAATCAGCGCTCAGCACTTGTTGCCGGGGCGCGCAGAGGCCCCACCCTCCCCCTCTGCGCCGCTGCCGCCCCCTGGTGGCCGGGAGGAGCAGCGCCATCGGACACGCGTGGGGCAGTGGGTGCGTGTCCCCGGGGCACCCCGCTGGGCTTCCTCCCTCTGTCTGCCTGTCTGTCTGTCTGTCTGCCTGCCTGTCCATCCGGCCGGCCTGGCCCCGGCCTCAGGCACCCGCCGTCACCCAGCCGTCCCATCCCTCCGCTCATCCACCCGGCCGCTCGCCCAGCCCTCCAGTCACACCTCCACACCCCCCCACCCCCACCCCCCACTCCATGCCTTCGCGTTCATCCATTCACCCCCCCACCCATCCCCTATCCACTCATCCACGCCTTAGAGCTGCAATCAGCCCTTCTCTCGACACCTATCCATGCACTACATCATCCGTCCGTCCGTCCGTCTGTCCGTCCGTCCCTCCCTCCCTCCCTCCCTCCCTTCCTCCCTCCCTCTTTCCATCCCTCTCTCCATCCCTCCCTCCATCCCTCCATCCATCCATCCCTCCATCCATCCCTCCATCCATCCATCCATCCCTCCATCCCTCCATCCATCCATCCATCCATCCATCCATCTATCCATCCTTCCATCCATCCATCCATCCATCCATCCATCCATCCATCCATCCATCCATCCATCCATCCATCCATCCATCCATCCATCCCTCCATCCATCCATCCCTCCATCCTTCCATCCATCCATCCATCCATCCATCCATCCATCCATCCATCCATCCATCCATCCATCCATCCATCCATCCATCCATCCTCCATCCCTCCATCCATCCCTCCATCCATCCATCCATCCATCCATCCATCCATCCATCCATCCATCCATCCATCCATCCATCCATCCCTCCATCCATCCATCCATCCTTCCATCCATCCATCCATCCATCCATCCATCCCACCCTCCCTCCACCCACCCACACCCAGCCCAGCCGAACAGCCACCGCTCTGGGCGATTCAGAGGTGGGGGCGGGGGGCACACCCCGCCTTCTGGGTCACCATGGAAACAGCAACCCCCTAGACGATGCCCCCAATCCCCCACACCCCAGGGGCACCCATAGGAACAACCCCCCCCTCCTTGGGGTGAGAAATAACCCCAGGGGTGCCCCTCAGCCGGGCTGGGGGGACAAGCCGTGGGGACCCCCCCCTAACCACCCCACACCGGGGGGGCTGCAGGAGCAGGGTCCCACCCCCCGTTAACCGAGCAGCCCCCACGGTGCCGCCGGCACGTGCCGCGCTCTATAAACGGCTGCGCCGCGCCGCCGCTCCGCTCGCGTGTCTTTTTGCCATCTGCTGCTGTCATTAAAAAAAATAATAATTAAAAAAAAAAAAAATTAAATTTCCATCTGCTTTCACACTCCCGCCGCTCCCCGGGAAGCATCGCCCCCGGTTCCCTCCCCGGGATGCGGCTGAGCCGGCGAGGCCACGATGCTGAGTTGCAGGTGACGCTGAGTTCATCATTCTGGGGCTGTTTTGTTTCAATCTGGGTGGAGAAGTGGGGGGCGGTGGGGGTGTACCCCACTTTTGGCCACCCATCAGCATGAGGTCAGCTTCAGGGGGGTGGTGACAAGGGTGATTTTTGGGGGGGACACAACCCGAGGGAGGCGGTGGGTGCCAAACTAAGGGGTGCAGAGCCCCAGGGTGTTTATTCACCGGGGAGGAGCCGCACGATGACACCCTCTCCCCGGTGCTTTTAGGAAAAAAAGAATAAAACAGTCACTGGTGTCCAAACCCACCCGTGGGGCGGGTGCTCTGCGTCTCCCCGGGGAGCTCCCGGGGTGCTGGATGGAACCAATTCGCATCCCGGCGGCTGTGGCTCCATCCCAGGGGAGCGGGGCCAGATCCTGCCCCTACGCTCAGCACTGGCTGCAGGGCAGTGACCCCCCCACCCGCCGGGCCTCACGGGACAGCATGGACCCCGTGGGTGTGGGCGGCGTGACGATGATGGAGGGCACGTGCAGGTGCTTCTCGCCCGGGGATGCCGCCGGGGTCCTGTCGCTGCCGTTCCCGCTGCTCACGCACGTCTTCAAGCCTGCAAAAATGGGGACACACACACACACACACACAAAGGGAAGGGGGGAAGGAGAGAAGATGATCAGGCTCGGGGCTGCAGCATCTCCCTACCTTCCTCCAACACCCAGCTCAACCCCCTTACGAGCCACTAGAGAATCCATAGCCTCTCCCAGCAACCCAGCGCAGCCTCGCACCTCCTCCCCACCCTGGATTTTGGGATGTCGGAGGGGTGGATCCCACAGCCCCCCCTGCCTGCCTGCCTCCCCCGGGGGAGCAGATCGTTTTAATCTGTTTTTTTAATCAGGAGAAAAGCCCCGTGTGGTGCAGGCAGCAGCCAGGGAGATTTCAGTTCCTCCCAAGCAGGAAAATGCCCGGAGGGGACAGACACTGATATTTTTAATCTCTTTTTAATTAAGGATAAAGCCCTGCCTTACGTAAGGGAGCTGGAAAAGGGGTGGGTGCGTGTGTCTTTTATTGCAGGCTCCAAGCACGTCAGAGGGGTTTGGAGGGGCGGGGGGATATTTTGGGGCTCTGCCCCTGCTTTGAGGCGGATGGAAGGCAGGATGGGGACTCCCTGGCTGCCTCAGTTTCCCCTCTCTGGTCACCCCACGTCCCTGGGTCAGGCTGGGGAGGGTCTGTGGGACCCCCCAAATCCCCCAGCCCCACCTGCAGCATCCCTGCCACAGGGGGGGTGGGGGGTGGGGGGTGGCACATGGGTGCAGAGCTCATTTTTGGGCGACGCCATCCAAAGCCACGCTCATGGCAGCCACCATCTCACACAGGGTCTGGGCTTGGGAAAAGCCAGGGGAGAAGCAGCTCTGCATCTCAGAGGGGGGATGCTCGTTAGCTCCCATCCCTAATGACCCCCAGGCTGATTAAAACAAGCTGCTCAGGGGTCAGCGCTGGGACGCAGAGCTAATGGGAGATGCGATATCCAGCCTTCACGCTGCTCGCCCAGTGCAGCGAGGCCAGAGGCATTAAAAGCTCCCGCTTTCCTCTCTCTGCAGACATCGCTGCCACTACTCCCAGCCTAACTCCATTAAGAAAATTAAAGTTTGGGAGAAAGCAGCAGGATAGAAAGCTCCTGGGTTGGAATATCCCTGAGGGGGAGCAGAGCAATGAAGGATGCTCGTGGTCAGCCCAGAGGCTGGGAGCTGGGGTATCCCATCCGTATCCCGAGCATCCCATCCTTCCCATCTCTTTCCCACCTCTAAGGAAACCCCACCTGATTTCTTGAGAGGGATGCCATCAGTCCCAGGATGCTCCGGAGCAAAGGATGAAGGAGCAAGCACCGGACTGGACCCTTTATATTTTTATAGGGTTGGGGATGGTGAAAGCAGCTCCAGGGTGATGCACGAGCAACGGGTCACCCGTGGGACTTCCTTAAATGCCACCAGGATGCCAAATCCCACCAGTCCTGCCCACGGCAGAAAGACCTAAAGCTCCTCCATGTACAACCAGCCCCCAAGATGCCTTCACGGAGCAGGAGAGACCCCAACACCCACCCAAACCTACCTTTCAGGCAGGATAACTTGACGCCCATGTTTTCATCCTCTTAGCAGGACCCAGCTCTCCAGCCCCACCGCCGGCCCTCGCTGCTGGCGCTGCAAAAGAGAGGCGAGGGTTGCGGGAAGCGATGCTGGGAGGAAGGAGAGTGAATTCAATTGCTCCCTAAAGGGACCTATGCATGTGTGTATATATATATATATATATATCTATAGGCGCCCAGGCATAACAGGAAGCACGGCTGCTCGGTAGCAAAAACCACTAGTGATGTCACGGTGTTTTAGTGACTCAATCTTGGTCGCTGAGTTTCAGGAGGAACTTTTTGGGACGGTAGAGGAGCCTGGGGAGGGGGGTGTCTCATCCCGGCTTCCCCGCTCCCCCGGGGTCAGTGCTGCAGACACTCGTAGGTGAGAAGGTCATAGCCAGGTGGTTATTTACGCTGGCAACCGGCGCTTGCAGAGAAAACCCCGAGCCCACGCACAGGAAACGGGGGGACACTGGGCTCCAGCATCGCCCCTGGGGCTGCCGCCCTCGGGGCTGCTCCGAGCGGCACTTGGGGGATGCGCTGCCGGGGGGAGCACGTGGTCCCGCTCCGTTTGGGCATCCCCAACGCCCCGAGAGCTTTCAAGGTGGATGATTCCTCTTGCAGGACATCTTTTTTTTTTTTTTTTTTTTTTTTGTTTGATCAGCTGAAAGTTCTTCTGGGCAAAAAAAATCCCTTTAGTGGGAAATCTGTATCCCTCCTGCCCACAGCTGCTGGGAAAAACTTATTGGGATGAGGGTCAGTGACTTATTTCGGTTATTCCAAGCTCTGGGGCCCACAAAGCCAAGCAAACCCCCCTACTCCCACTGCTCAACATCCGCCACGGCTTTACTTCACTTTTCCAAGCAGCCCTGAGTTGGGCTGGCAGCATCCGGCAAGGAGAAGTGGGAACTTACTATTGCTGGTCTTAATTCTGCATTTTTTTTACCAGCTCTCCACAGACACCCTGAGCTGTGACACCCCCACGTCTGGGGAGCCGCATGGGGGCTGAGAGCAGAGCCCCCCCCCCCCCCGCCCCCAGGGACCCACAGTTTGCAGGTATAGTGGCAGCTGCCTAAATATCAAGAAATCTGTTTTGGGGTGAGTTCTCCGGGTTTTGGTACCTGCTGGTGGCTCATGCCATCAGCCCCACTCCAGCTGCTCGGAGCTGGAGGAGGGTTGTGTGGGAGAGACCCAGACCCACCAAGCCCTTGCAGGACACAGCAGCCCCCCTCCCCACGGCGGGTAAACACCAGCACCACTTGCTTGCGACACTGGGAGAGACGCTTGGGTAGAGAAACTCCCCCTCCCTCTTCTCCATTCCACCCCCCCGCCCCCCAGTTTCAGGATTTCTGGTGGTTGGTGCTGGGGTTTCAACTTCACTCCCGTGCCGGCACCGGGCCGAGAAGCATTTGCATTCCTGATGAGTTCATGCTCCAAAAAACCCCAGACACTCACGCCAAGTGTCACCAGAGCTGCGGCAGACTTGGGGGGGTGGCTCAGCCGGCGTGAGGGGCTGGGGGTGCACCGGGGAGGGGGGAGCGGGGCCGAAGCCACCCACGGTGCTCCGAGGGGGTGACACTTACCCGGTCCTGGGAGCCGGAGGCGCGATTCCCACCGTTGCATCCCACCTCCCCCCCCCGCCTGGCTGCTCTCGCATGCAGGAGGGGAGCCGGGGGGGTGCGAGGCTGGAGGCGGGTGGCTGGTTCCCACTCAGGACCAGCCGTGCCCTGGGAGGGTGGGAGGAGGTTGCGGCGAGACGGCTTGGATTTTTGCAAGGATGGTTTCTAACCTGGTGAATCAGGTTAGCGGAGTCCCGGCTCCTCCCTTCCATCCCCCCCCTCCAGTCCCATCCAAGCCCAGCAAAGCCCCTGGGTGATGAGGAAATGCTGGTTTACCCTCCCTCCACTGCACAATCCAGCCCGGCGCTGAGACAGAGAGCAGCAGGAGCGCCCCTCGACTGCAGCCGAAGCCCCTGGACCATTGAGCATCCCCACAAGCCGTCGGAAGGGCTACCAAGTGCCTAGACAGGCAAGTAGCAGTTTGGTATGAGGGTCCCACCCCCAGCTCTGGCAAGACCCATCGGCCTCTCTTGAGGTCCTAATGTCTAGAAAGTAGCGATGCTCCCTGACTCTGGGAGCATCTTCACCTTCTCCAGATTCCAGAAAGGGTCTTTTCCCCCTCTTGCCTGACCTGCCAGCCCGAAAACCAGCCTGACAGCGGGAACAGCACCAGGCAGGGGGTTTCTCACCATCTCCAGGATGAGAGCTCTGAGTCGGGTACCACCCTGCTGCGAGGATGCCTGGGTGAAGGCTCTGCCTCCGGAGCGGCCGCCTTTGCCTGCATTCAAAGCAGCCGGAGGCTTTTTCATGTTCACCTCCTCTGCAATTAAGAGGTGAGGCCCCCAGACGGCTCCTTTTCAGACAAGAGCTGAAAAGCAGCGGTTCACATCCAGGGCGCCGGCGTGCGGGGAATGCCAGCCGCACATTAAATACTCCGTGGCTGCAGGCAGGAACCAAGCAAAAGCTTTGAAATTCGCCTGGAGATAGGAGTGAACTGATCCCAGGAGCCTGGGAGGTCTCCAGAGAGATCAGAGCCCCGTGTCCGAGACTAAGCCTTGATGGGACAGGCATAAAGGGGAGCAGGGAGGGGAAATGGGTGGGTTTGGTCCATTTTTTTCTGGCCCAGTCCTGTCACGTTTGGTGAAAAAATCACAAATCTGGAAAGGGCTGATTCCCTTCCTGATCTGGCTCCTCTGATTTATCAATGACTGAGCTATCGCAAAGCTTCAGGCTCAAGAGCTGGGCAGATGGCACGAGGGAAAGGCTGCAGCCCCAGCTGCAGGCACCAGTCCCGGACACAGAGGCCAGGGCAGAGACATTTGCAACCCGTGGCTCCCATTTTGCCCCAGAAAAACAAATTAACTGGTTCGTGTGGGCTTTTTTTGCCTGTTTAGCTGCGAAGTACAAGAGCTAGAGGACAAGGTCTGAGGCAGAGCCTGGCAATCCCGGTTTTTCCAGATCCCATCCCAACCTCGGCGCATCCCGTGGGGCCAGGGACCCCTCACCAGCAGCCCTGACACTGCAGCACGAATCCAGTCGGAGCAGCAGAATTCCCTCCCTCCCTCCCCATTAGCTGTGTTGATGCCTCTCTCCAAAACTACTTGTTTGCTGCTGTTGGGCGAGAACAACCAGCCCCCAAACCCGAGAGGGCTGGAATTAGCCTGACCTGGGGAGCAGCAGTTGTTGCTAAAACTGTGAGCGACCGAAAGCGATGGCTTGCTGCGGCGGGGAGGTAAACATAAGCATCAGCCTGCTAAAATAACTGTGGTTAGCTCTGCGGGCTGCAGCACTGCTCCAGCTGGTGTGGTGGCACCCGATAGGCACAAACACAGCATCGCACACCCCTTCCTCTCCTCCCCACCAGCTGGGGAAGCAAAGACACCCCCAGGCAAGTTCACAGGGTGGGGCTTGGCCACCTTGAAGTGGCTGGATATAGCCCGGAGCCCCTCCGCTGTGGAGCTACTGGAGAAAGCCGCGGGGTGACTGGTGTTAGGCAGATCTCAGTCTTGAGCACCAGAGCAGCCCCGTGGGCCAGACATCCCCTCTCTGTGGGCACCATGGGACCCTCTTGCAGCCTTACCCCTCTGCTCTAGGTCCCTCCCAGGAGCTCCTGGTTGGGGCTGTGACATGCTGAGCATCACATCAGGGCAACTGGCCAAACCCCAGAAGAGCAGGGGGGAGGAAGATGAGCTCATAAAGCTTCCTTGGTGGGTCGGCATGGAACTGGCTGACCTCTCCGGGTGAAGACTTGTCTCTCCAGCCCAAGCAACCACCCTGGGTGGTCCTCTGGTCTGGTTGGTGACTGGCTTCCAGTTCTGGACGTGGCCCTTTAGCAGTTGGGCTGTTCCTCTCCCCGGGCTCTGCTCCTCAACCCCCTGGCCCCATCCTGCCCAGGGTGGAGGGGGCTGAAGGATGGACGAGGGGGTGAGGACAGAGGGGAGCCTCATAACTTCACTGGAAGGGGAAGAGGGTGAGCTCACGGCTTCCCAGATGCCAGAGGAAGGGCAGGGAGAGGGATGTGTTTTGCAAACACCGGCCACAAGAAAAGCTTTGGCTGAAGAGCCTACCGCGGAGCTGCTCCTGCCAGCACCAGCTGAGCTTGTTTTAGAAAAGCGGGAGGGGAAGCAGCTTTCTGGGTCACTGAGTGCCAGGGTCTGCTAACGCAGGTGACACGTCACCCCAGCTCCGCGCTAACGGAGCGGCGAGGCCGCCTGCTCCCCACTTCTGCCCTGCGTTTCTTCTGGCCCAAGCAGAGGAAAGGGCTGGTCGCAGCCTGGCTCTGAAATCGCCCTAGGAGGAGGCTGCAGGGCCAGAGCATGGGACTTGCTGAAGCTGGAGGTGGCAACAAGGCAGGAGGTGCTGGGAGGCGGAAAAGAAACTCCCTCCCGGAGCCCCACGCCGGGGGAGGCTCGCAGCCATCCAGGGCAGGCGAGCGGTACCCGCAGGGGATGCCAGGCGTGGGAAGGGAGGAGGGTGTCACGAGGAAGCAGCTGAAGATGCAAGCTCCGGGGAAACTGGAGCAGCTCCAGTGTTCCCTAAGCACGGGCTCTTGGCAGGACCAGCAGGACCTAACAACCGGCAGGAACCGTGCAGGCAGAAAAAAAACACCGAAGAAAATCCACCGGGCCGTGGCTGCCGCCCTCAAGAGCAAGCCGGGGGTAGGAAGCGAAGAGGGAAGCGTGCACGTACCTGAAGCACAAAACCAGAGTGTGCCGGGCTCTCCTGCCAGACCTGCATCCAGAGCAAACCGCCTCCCTGCCGGGCATGGATTCAGAGGGCGGCTGGGAGGCCGTGGCTGGGAATTGGCTTAGGGACCTGGCCGCGGCTGCCGCGCTTCCCGGCTCGCTGAACTCCAGGTTAATCTTGGCCCAGCTTTCTCTTTTATCCCCTGGTACAATCTCGATATGTTTTTGTTTTTGTTTTTGTTTTTTTTTTTTCAATTAGGTCCATCTTTTAAGCTCCATAGCGCATTTCTAGGAAGGGCTGCGTTGGTTCTCTTGGCCCTCGTGGGCTGATGCTGCGCAGACCGGGATGTGCCTGGCACCGGTCCTGCCCGCATCCAGCTAAATTGCTGCCACGCTGCAGCCGGTGCGGCGCTGCCTGGAAGCACTCAGGGAGTTGCCTGTTACCCCCAGCCCACCTACCGGGTAGTTTTAAGAGCAGCGTTCCCTCTCTGCCTCATCCCAGCTCCGGCAGGTTGTAAAGTGCAGGAGCAGGGACCGCTTTCCCCTTTCGCGCGGTCCCGTTATTAGAAACCCCCGCCAGCAACCCGCCTCCGTCCTCTCCGGATCCGCGTCTGCCGCCTTGCACAGGGCGACGGCTGAAAACCGAAGGAAAATACGCAGCTAGGGTGTACTTTTGGATGAGAAGGCTGGGTGAAAAATGTGGTCTAAAAGCGACGGGGGGGAAGAAAAAAAAAAAAAAAAAAAAAAGAGTAAATAAAAAAATAGATCGATGAAGTCCTCAGAGGATGCTTCAGCACAGCGAGATCACTGCCTGCTGCGGGAGGGCTGGTCGCAGGGCGATGGGTAAAGCAAAGGAGGAGTTTGCAGCGCAGCAGGACGACGCGTTGAGATGTTTAACTGGAGTCGGGAATAAGGGAGCCTGGGCAGGATGGGAAGGAAGCAAAGCCCAGCCCAGCTCCCTACAGCTCCTACCAGCAAGGGTGGGCGACCCAGCTCCGCTCCAGGAGCCGAATCCAAACACAAACTAGAAGCTCAGCTCTCAAATGCACGCTGAGCGCATTTCCCCTCGAGGCCATTTTCCAAGCTGCAGTCAACCGCAAGTCCACCCCGCTAACAGCCTCCTCCATTAGCATCGGCGGGCTCTTTCCGTATGGGTAATGCCCTCCACCCGAGCACCTCGAGACGTTTTACAAATAGCAGCGGCGGCAGAGTGCAGCGATTAGGCCTCTAGCCAGGGAGCAGAGAGACCAGGGTTTGCTTCCTGCATCTGTCGCTGTCACCTCTCCTTGGCGTGCATCTCTGCCCCTTAGGTGAGAGATTCGTGGGGGCAGAGGGCCACCTCTCAGGGTGCGCCTCGGCAGCGCCGCGCGGAGCTGGGTTGAGCCCCGCACATCTGCCTGCCGCCGGCTCTCCCGTCCTGCCAACTGAACTGCTCGTCTGCTTCCCGCACCCACGGCGGCTCTCATGAGCTGAAACAGGTTATGCAGTAGGTCTTTGCTCGTTTCCGTGCTGACACAGGCTCGGGAACATCCCATGAGCAGCTCAGCTGGCAGATGGGAGAGGGGGAAGGGGGATCAACACCAGCGGCAGACTGCTTCCCTTGCTGAACGAAGGGAAAAAAAAATAAAATAAAACCCAAAGCCCTCATATAGGCACGCAGCAATGAGCTCCGAGAGAAAATGGCACTGGTACGTTCCCCGGGAACAGGTATCTCACTCGCGTGCGCGAGCAGCAAGATCAAAGACACCCCTGGGCTCTTGTCACCCATTTGCTCATCACACCAGTGATGCCGCACAAGCCGGGAGCAGAGATCATTCCCGACGTGCATCCGGCCCCAACCAGCCACCGCTTCTCTGAGCAATTTGAGGGCAGTCTCCTTTCTCTGTGAAAATAATGCCTACGGGCCCCCCGAACTCTCCGCTCCCCTCTGGGTTTCTCAAGCTGGATCTGTAGGTGGGAGTTTTTAAACCACAGCTGGAAGTGCCCTGGGCCATCAGCTGGTGGCATAGGTGGGGACAGGCCTCCTGGCTCAGGTCACTCTGATCCCTAATTTCAAACCGAACAGGTGCATGCTCAAGGCTCTTTGTTCCCCACCTTGTGACAAAGGATTCAAGGTGAGCACTCACGTGGATCCAGCAAAGATTAGTGTACATCCTCCCACTCAGAAACCCAAGCACTTTGTACTGGTATTTTCAGACACTTGCGGGGTCTGTTTATTGCTGTTTTGAAATATTAGAGTTGAGAGTAGAAAAAAAAGAATCCCATACGGAAATAATTTCACATTTCCAAGTGCTTGAGGTCCTACAGATGAGGTAAAGAGCTGGGAGTTAAATGTCTGGGCAGGTAAATGCCAAATCTCTAAATCTTAGTGAACAGGGGGGGGCGGAAAAAAATAAAATATCACTTCATCTTGCATGTCATTAATTGCTAACAA